CATGAACCTATATGCAAAGCTATTTTGAGCATAACCAATGAAAACACAATCAAAAGTTTTAGATCCAACCGTAGGTTTTTTGAATGCTGGATATGTCACCTTTGCTAAGCACCCCCACACCTTCAAGTAGCTTAGGTTTGGCGAATATCCTTTTCAGAGCTCGTATGGTGTCTTATCTAGCCTTTTGTGAGAGACCCTGTTAAGAATAAAACATGCAGAAAGTGCAACTTCCTCCCACATATCACCAGATAGACCAGAACTTAATAGCATGGCATTTATCATTTCTTTTAAAGTTCTATTTTTCCGTTCAGCTATTCCATTCTGTTGAGGTGAATATGGAGCAATAAATTCATGTATAATTCCACTTGATTCACAAAAATCTCTAAGCGAATTATCACTATATTCACCACCCCTATCTGATCTTATCCTTTTTGTTTTCTTGTCTAATTGGTTTTCTACTTCAGCTTTGAATTTCAAAAACATACTACTAGCTTCATCTTTAGATTTTAGGAGATATATTTTCGTATATCGAGAAAAATTATCAACAGAAGAAATATAGTATTTTTTTCCACCTCTGCTAGTTGTGTTTTTGAAATCAGCTAAATCAGAATGAATTAATTCTAGGAGTTCAGTACACCTTGCAGTGACATGTTTAAAAGGTTTTTTTAGCAAATTTTGCTTCTACACAGACATGACACTTTGTAGTTTCAGGCAGATCGGAAGCATTAATTAAATTTAGAGTCCTAAGCCTTTTAATTGATGCAATATTCACATGCCCTAATCTACCATGCCACACATCAAGAGACTCAACAATGTAAGCAGAACTAGAATTAATTTCATAAGAAGAAGTAGTGTTGAGAACAAACAAATCATCTGCTAAATAGCCCTTACCAACAAAGTCACCATTTTTGGTGATAATAGCCTTGTCGGCCTCAAACACAATCCTAAGTTCGGCTCGGTTCAATAGACCTCCTGACACCAGATTTCTACGCAGGGAAGGAACATACAACACATTACTTAATGATAAAGTTTTGCCAGATGTGAGTTTCAAGAGAACCTTCCCTTTCCCAAGTACTCCAGCTGTGGCAGAGTTTCCCATGAAAACACATTCACCGTCGGCAGAGTCCTGGAAGTCATGGAAGAGGTCACGGTTCGAGCAGAAATGTCTAGATGCTCCTGTGTCAAGAATCCAATCGGATTTGTTCTCTACTAGATTCGCTTCCACAACCACAGCGGCAATGATGTCATCCGTCTCTGTAAGGTTGGCTTGTGGAGTAGCCCTTTGATCTTTCCTATCTTTCCTCTGAGTGCACTGATAGGATTTGTGCCCGGCTTT